CTGTAGTCCACGAAAGCTTATGCTCTAATAAATTTGTTAGTCTCTAAGGTGCCACAAGTACTCCTGTTCTTCTTTTTGCGGATATAGACTAACACGGCTGCTACTCTGAAATAAAAATATAAGGGCTGGAGTAAGTTGTCCATTGAAGTCAGTGGTGCTGTGACAATTCACATCAACTGAAGAACTTCCCTATAATGTTTAAATGGATGAAAACCTGTCTATTAAACCCACCTAAATCTATTGAAACCAAAGGGGGGATATTTCTACTTGAAGTATGCAATAAGAATTCTGTTGGCCAAATTATGCAGTCCTTACTCAGGCAAAACCCCCACTGGGTTTTTGGGTAGAAACCATTTTCTCTCATCGTTATCTGATTCAATTTGTCCAGCATCAAATTGTGATTAACCCATGTTAAAATAAACTGTTTCTAAGCCTGTTTAAAAACACAATGTCCTGACAAAGATAAAACTAATAAACAGGATCAGACTAGACATTAGATACGTCAGTGTCACTCCAATAGGGGGTCCTGGCATAGGAGTACTCTGACACAAGAAGCTACACACAGGTGCTCATATTGACCACTGATTATTTAAATATTGTTAATATTTCAAACAACAAGGATGACATAGAAGGAGGCACAGATAAAGCTTGTGACTTTAACTAATCCACATAAATTGGAGGAATAAGGTTGCCAGAATTGCAAAACAGCTGATGCATGAAGTGTGACTGGCTCTTGACAATCTTTTCATAAGGATGCCAGTCACAAGACTGCCCATCAAGAAGTGAATAAATGGAGCTGTATCAGCCACAACAGCTTTCCTGCCTTTGACTATAATAACCAATTTAAAAGGAGAGACGGGGGTTTTTTTTTGTTGGCTTCCTGAAGCTCCCTAACTAATGGTTACAACTAGAGCTAGTCAAAATTTTTCTGATGGAATACTTTACCACCGGAAAATATTGATTCATCCAAATTGAAACATTCTGCAGGAACGTGTCAATTTTGGCAAAATGTAATTAACGCCCCCCATACCCTCAGCTTCGAAAAGAAGCATTTCAACCTTATCTGAATGGAACATTTTGATTTTTCATTTAAAAAACAACTTTGTTTCAAAATGTATTTTAGATTATATTATACACTATAATATAACATTTTAAAACGTTAAAATAGAAATAAAATGTTTACATTTTAGCTAAACAAAATGTGTACAGTGACCTGAATCAAAATTTGTTGAAAATGTCATTTTGCAGGAAATTTAGAAATTCAATGTTTCTTTCCAATTCAGAACAAAACCAATTTTGAAATCATGCCATTTCCCATAAATGGAAATTCCAGTTTCCACACAGCTCTACTAACAATCCAGATTATTCATAAAAAGAAATCCACCCTCTAATTTTGGAAACCATTATAATTTCAGCCCCTAATTGAAAATCCACAGGAGTGCCAATATAAAAGACCATACGCTATCTTCTACATTTGTTTAAAATAGTGTAAATTTGGAGTGATCACACTGATCTAAATAGAGCCACTCCAACTTTATATTGGTGTAAAGGTTGAGGCTTGATCCCGCAAGATGCTGAGCAGCCTTCTGGTTTTGATACTGCAAAGTACCTAGGCATGTGCTTAACTTTAAGATTGTGAGTAATCCCATTGACTTCAGGTCTTCACTAAAACACATCCCTTTTTAAAAAATGAGAAGGTCTAGAAATCCTCCAGATCTAGCTTTTCTAGTCAGGAAAATAATCACTGGCAGATTTGGCTTAAAGGAGGCTTGGCACAATGGGGCAGATCCCAACGTAGCTACATCAGTTTACATCAGCTGAGGATCTGTCCCCAAATCTCCACAGGTACCTCACAATTCCTTCCTATGTTTCCATAGTCATGTGTAATATGTATCAGAGATGTCTACATTGGCCTGTCAAACCTTGTATAAAGCAAGTTCATCTGAACTGTGCTTGAACTGGCCAAGCTAATTTAGTGAAAGCCCCAGCCTAGAAGGGGGCTACATTAATCTTCAAATAGACCAATACTTCTTACATCTCTTTGGTACCATCTCTCTCTCAATTCAGGTGAGAATGGAGATATTCCTCAACTCCAAGCTGGACAATTTAAGGGGTCAGATCCTCAGTAAATCAGCTTAGCTCCACTGACTAAGAATTCTTCTGTTACAAATATAAACACTGAGTTATCCTTAGTTCAGGGGACAGCCTTTGTAATCGTATTCCTTGGGGGATTACTCTGCATTACTAGGGATAGTAACCCTGGACCACGGCCCCTAGCATCCCTACACCCACCTCTTTGTGGTTTTGTGCCAAGCTCTTTTGGTTCATTTTGCTGAGGCTTCAGAACCCTCATAAATTTCTGTAGCACAGAGGGACATATTAAATGAGCAACCCCTCCACCTCTCCTTGCAATGCTCTCTCTGCCAGTGCCGGTACATCCTTAGCCAACCAGGGAGCTAGCAGGGCTGGGCTATAGGGGCTCCTCCTCCAAAGGGGGCAGGATTGCACCTCTCTTCCCTAAGCCTGTCAGCGAACAGCTGAACATCTCTAGTTTCATGCATGTAACGATTAAAAAAAAAAAGTAGCCGTGCTTATTCAGCAGATTATAAAGAGCTATTTAGAAAATGCACCTTTCTTCCTGATCTGTCCGTGCCTTTGTATATATATGACCAAAGGTCCCAGCTGATCATTTCTTTTCCTGCACAGCCAGGAGGTTTCCAGCAGCAGCAGCAGCAACACCAGCCACGGGCAGTACAATACTGTAAGTCACCAGGACTGTTTTTTTTCTCTGTTTAGAAGGGAATGTCTCTCTGAAAGCTCATATCCATCTTGCTCCCAATTTGTTTTCTAGCAAAGACAGTATGTGATGGATTTAGTTTTCAAAACCCTCTGGGTATTTCTTGTTGTTGTTGGTATGATTGTGTTCTCACACCAGATGCAGTGACAGTGAGGTGCCGGTTTTGCAACAAGAGCATAAATGAATGATGCAATCCTATAGAGGGGAATCATCATCACTTTGCCAGATGAAAGCGTTACCCAAAAAGCTGGAGAGGTCCTATGTTTATGGCTATCTCATTTGGTCTCCTTTGCCTTTTCCTCATCTATTTTTTATAAAGTATTTGAAGCAATTTACCCCTATGCATTGCTGTCAAATGTCAACTGACAGTTGCAAGTAACCCATCTGTTGATTCAAAATGCAAATATTTATTTACATTGCTTCCTTTAAAGCTGAACTGAAAATCAACAAGTTGAAGCAGGCTCAGTGATACTAGTACACCCAAACTCCCAAGGACTATTATTTGGTCTTTTAATGTAATTACTACTAATAATAATTTGCTCAACTATAGCTCCTTTCATTTGAAGAGCTCAAAGTGCTTTTCTAGCATTGTGAATTAAGCCTCACAACAACCTTGTGAGGTAGGTATTTGTATTCCCATTTTACAGATAGGGGAATTGAGGCACAGAGAGATTAAGTAATTTGCCTCATCCTAACATGCAGGCCAATCCAGCACCAGCTGAAGTCAAGGGAAAGACTCCCATTAACTTCAGTGGGAGTTGGACCAAGCCCCACAGTACGTGGCAGAGTTGATACTAGAACCAATTACTCCTGATTCTTATTTCTCTTTAGTTCACTAGAAACAATGGAATATAGTAAGAGTTAATTTCACACCTGTTCCACAAACCAGGGTTCAGTTCTGCCAAGGGAATATAGTAATATCTCAGGATTGATTCTGTTCTCACATACACAGATGTAAACAAGGAGTAACTCTTTTGAAGTAATTGATATTACACGAGGGTTAAACCAGTGTAAGTGAGATCAAAATCAGGCCTCTTGTGCAGTCCATTACTATTGATAAGGCGTTTACAGTTTCACTGAAGAGGAAGGGGGGTGGGAAAGTGGGAAACACCAGATACTGTTTGTGATGTGCACCACAGCCCTCATGAGCAGTTTAAGGAGGTACTTTTGGTAACTATTTCACTAAGGTTCAGTTGATCTTCATTTTTTTATGGCAACAAGTGCAAATGCAACAAAAAGTAACAATGTGGATGTGGATGGGGATGGGGATGGGTAGCACTTCTGAAAACTAACATATGATAACAAGTGAAGTGAGATCGGGATGTTGATTTTCCGATCTCACTAGGCAAATCAATGCCTAGTTACATCATGCTAGAAATAAACGCAGCCAGAAAACCACATGGCTTCTGAACATCATTCCCTTTTTCCTCTTGAAGTATTATTTATCAGACGTTTTGCTTTTCACAATGTACAAAACATTCTTCCTCAAAGGATCAGAAAACTGGAAATATTTCAATTGTTTTCTTTAAACAATAACATTTGGCCCTGCATAGCTGCTAGTCCTAATCCACTGGCTCCATCGCCGCTAGGTTGTGTAACAGAACTCATCTGTAAACTGTGTATGTGCCAGTGCTTCTTCTGAGTGTCCAGGCAAATCCAGATGGTTGTGGAAAGATCTACTTTCCCTTCCTTGCCACTGTGAAAGCTTATGGCCAAATACATTTGTTAGTCTCTAAGGTGCCACAAGGACTCCTCATTGTTTTTACTGATACAGACTAACACGGCTACCACTCTGAAAACTGCCTTCTTTGTTCCTCTTTTCTCTTCATTGTTGTCTTTCCTTTCCCCCAACTGTTCTACTTTGCTCTTCTTTCTGATTCTCTGAACCTTTATTCTCTTCTCTTAAATCTTCTCTGATCTCTCCTTTTCCACTGGCTTCTCCTCTTTCCCATTTTCTTCTTTCACCTTTTTGTCCACCTTCTTCCATTCACTTATCAGACTTGTATGAATGCTTGCTGCGTAGAACCTTTCCAAAGTTGAAATGACAGAGTCAGAAGTCTAGCCTTCCTTCCAGAAGTCAAATGCAGTAACTCCTCGCTTAACATGGTAGTTATGTTCCTGAAAAAATACTACTTTAAGAGAAACAATGTTAAGTGAATCCAATTTCCCCATAAGAATTAATCTAAATAGGGGAGTTAAGTTCCAGGGAATTTTTTTTTGCCAGACAAAATATACACACACACACACACACACACACACACACACACACACACACACACACACT